CTCCGCACTCCCCGCCGCCGCGGGGGGACCGGCGGCGCGCCCGCTCCCGCACAAAGCGCCCGGAGACCGCCGACGTGCCCGATATAAAATTTATTGATCTCTCTTCGTTTGGAAGAAGGAAGCAAACGAGGACCGGGGACAGGAAGAGGGAAAGGGTGTTTCGATAACTTTTTTTTTTTTTTGGAAGAAATCCGGTAAACAAAACTAAAACGTTTCTTCATCTGATATGTCAAAACATGGTTCACAGTAAAATTCACAAACCAATTTACATAAGTTTACAGCTTAAGAAAAACCAAGACACACAACTTACTATAAATAAAAGAAATGCGTTTGCGACCCGCACAGCTCTCTCCCACCTCCCCTTTTTTTAAGGAACAAAACTCTAAAGTTAAAAACTCGTGAAAGCTACAGATTGTGGATAGGAACCAAGCGAGGCTCGGTAAGGTGGGAAGAACAAAACACATTAAAGTAACCACAACGATGTAAACAACTGAGTTTAAAAACAAAAGCCCGCTGGTTGTTTTGAGTTTTGGTGGGATGTCTTTTTTTTTTTTTTCTTATGTCATTGCAACGCTAGAAATCAACCGGAAAGATGCGAGATCTTTTAAAAACTTTTAAGCGAACAAAACAGTGCCCAACTTAGGAGAAACCAGGAAAAAAGTTGCCGTGGTTCGAAAACTTCACAGCGGCTTCAAGGAGGCAGGAGTTGTGCTCTATTAAAATAACAGCTTGCTCAAGTTTGTTGATTTTTTTTCTTTTGTACAAAAAAAAAGGACACAACTAACGGATTTCCTTTTTAAAATTTCTCCAAAGTTAGTATTAAGTCTGCTAAGCCGAGCAACACTGCCGTACGTCCCCGGTGTAGTCAGGGAGCGGTGGCGGGGTTAGGGATTAAGACGGGGAGCCGTCCGGAGCAGCCAAGTTTATATGTGAGTTAGTGGTACGGTACCATTCACGCCAGTCCCGGCACTCTGGTAGTGCTGGTGGACGCTGTGTAACCTGCTGCCCTGCAGGGCGGAAGGGTCTGTGGCGTCCCCCCCCGGGGGCAGGTACATGCTGATCATATCCCGCAGGTCTCCCAGGCAGGCCCTCTGCGAGTGGGAAGTGATGGCCGGAGGCGGCGAGCTGGGCTCGGATTTCACCACCGAGCCCATGGAGCCCAGGCTCATGGCCGTGGAGGGCTGCTGGCCGTAGGCGGCGGGGGACATGCTGTAGGTGGAGGCGGCGTTCATGTAGGTCTGGGCCGTGGACATCATGGGGCTGTACTGCAGGCCCGTCATGTCGTAGCGGTGCATCTGCTGCAGCTGGGGGCTGTTCATGCCCGGGTGCTGGCTGTAGCCCAGCTGGTCTTGCATCAGTGAGTAAGCCCCGTTGGTCCAGCCGTTCATGTGGGCATAAGTGTCAATCCTCTGCCCCACCCCGACGGGGCTGCTCACCGCGTTGCCCCCCCCCGGGGCCAGCAGATTGCCGGGCAGCGAGTATTTGTCCTTCTTCAGCAAGGTTTTGGTCTTCCTTCGGGGCCGGTATTTGTAATCCGGATACTCCTTCATGTGCACGGCCCGCAGCCGCTTGGCCTCGTCGATAAAGGCCCGCTTCTCGGCGTCGCTCAGCAGCTTCCAGTCGGCCCCCAGGCGCTTGCTGATCTCCGAGTTGTGCATCTTGGGGTTCTCCTGGGCCATCTTCCGCCGCTGGCCCCGCGACCACACCATGAAGGCGTTCATGGGGCGCTTCACCCGGTCCTGATCCGAGCCGGCTCCCGCTCCGTTGCTGGCCCCGCCGCCTCCGCCGCCTTTACCGTTGTTCCCCGGAGCGGGGTTGCCCCCGGCGCTGCCCGGCGTGGGCTGAGACGTCTTGATCTCGGTCTCCAGCATGCTGTACATGGCCGGAGCCGGCAAGAGGTGCGCCAGGGTGGCGGGCAGGCAGGCACCAGAGCGGGGAGAGGAAGGTAAAAAAAAAAAAAAA